TCTGTGTTACCTAAACACTCACACTCTCCACAAGACCTTTGGCCATTTTTAGTTAAAGTAGATCCAAACCCACTAACCCACTAAACTCACTAACATCTCATATAAGCTCTATCATGTTCGTCCAATCTCAGAAGCTGTTTTCAATCTTTTGAAAGGGTAATTCCACTTTTCCAGGTGAATTTAGAAAAATGGAATTACCCCCTCCAATCTGGCTCCCTCTTCCCTCCCGCTATACTTACCTTTGGGCGAACACTCCTTCCCTTCTGCTGGTGCGGGTATACTATCCATACCATGTACTGCCATGTAGTGCAGCCTTGCAATCTGGATTATAAATTTTACTTGCAAATGGCGAGAACTCTTTGGTCATTGCTAAGAAGTGCTTCTCATTGGTCAGCGCACTCAAATGACCACGCTGACCAATGAGTGCTTGCCATTTGAGAGCGAAATTCAAAATAGAGAGCGCAGTGCTGCGCTACATGGCAGTTCGGGTTATGGATAGTACACCCGCACCAGCAGAGGGGAAGGAGCGTTTTCCCAAAAGTAAGTATTGCAGGGGGAGGGGGATAGGGGGACAGATTGGAGGGGGTAATTCCAGTTTCCAACATGCACCTGGGAAAGGGGAATTACCCTCTAAATATACAGCTTTGATTAAAAGCATACCTGTTAATTGTTCCGTGAAGGTCCTTTTTCAGGCACCTCCTATTATGGGGTGAAAATGATTTCTCAATTGTTCTCTTGCATTGTCACCCTGTCACATACAACCCCAGTGAAGACTGCAGGTGGCTAGGCATACATACATTACACATGCTGGTCAACAGTTGACGCTGGAGCAAATGCATGTATACAGGGAGGGAATAAGCGGGCTGTAGGTGATCTGTTGCACTGAGATGGAAAAAAAGGATGAAAAGAGGTGAAAACAGTATTTTATGAAATACTATGCAATTGTTTATGATCCACAGTGATTTTGCAAACTATATTTAATCAAATTAAGGTTTAGATCTATGTTAAAGGAAACCTTTAAGTTTAGATGTATGTTAAAGGTAATCTTTCAAATTTTGTTTCTAGGTATTCCTGTGCAAGAAATAAGATTAAAGTGAGTAACATTTTCTCTCTTGTTTTTATGTATAAATGGTAAAATATGAGTACAATCATATTACCTCATTACTTATGTCACCTCTGTTTCCTATTTAATAGCCCCGCACTGTAATTATGTAATGCTGATTTTTACATCTAACATCAAATCTACCAAACAGCGTCTGTTAAACGGGCCATACACTTTTCGTTTTTGGTAGGGGATTATCACTGCCACTGAGCATAAATGAAAGGTGGGGGAATTAATCATAACTGCTCATGACCACCATCAATGAAAGAGGTGGGGGGATCAATTATCACTGCTCTGACCACTAATGCAAGAGGTGGGGGGAATAATTATCTTTGCCACTGACCATTAATAAAAGGGGTGGGGGGATCAATTATCACAGTTCTGACCACCAATGAATGGGGTAGAGTGGATGAGGGTTAGTTTTCACTGCCACTGACCACCAATGAAAGGGTTGGAGGTGTTAATAATTACTGCCACTGGTCAACAATGAAGGGGTGATGGTGGGGGATTAATTATTACTACCATTGACTAACAATAAAAGGGGGAGGGATACTTTTTACTGTCACTGACCATCAATGAAAGAAAGGGTTAATTATTTATTACCACCAATGTCTACCAACTAAATATATATAACAAAACAAAATAAGAAATGTGCCACATTATAAGCCCACTTTGGCCACACCACATTTCTCTTATCTTTCCTTTTAAGGTGTTCCTTCTAATTATTTTCAAATGTTGTCAACTATGCTTTGGAGTGTAGTGAAAGGGGATGAAGGGGGTGCAAGGGCTACAGTTCACATTGAAGCAATGGTGGAGCTCCTAAAATGTACACTGCAGTAGCAGTGGTTGAGAAAGAGCCCACAATTTTTGAGGAGTATAGGGGAGGCGGGGATGCAGGGGTGGGAGAAGCAAAAAATTAACATTGGAGTGTAGGGTAGACATAATGAAGAAGCCTACAATCTACATTGGAGTACAGGGGAGTCTGATATTTGGGGATATTAGCACATATGGTGAACACTTTAAGGATGCAGTCCACTTTTTTTTTCTGTTTGAGGGCCTGGTAGCCAACTTTTTATTGAAACAAAAGATCATACATATCTTGGATACCCTTGCAAGGGTTGTTCAGTACAACATCCATGCACTGCTTGCAACATAACACAAGTATAGCCTCCTGGCTTCCACTATAAACATTACCAATTCTAAACCTACTGGCCCTCTTGGAAGTGCTATCCCACACTTGTACTGGTCGCCTCTAAGGCTCACGGCTCTCCTTGCCTCACCAGTTCTCCCCAGACTCCCTGGCTGTCTTCGTGTGCCTCCAGCACACACACCACCTGACTCCACTTTGATTTCTGGGGGAGTCCTCCTGACTCCTGAACACCAACTGTTCCTATGTTCACGATGATCTCACCTGACTCCTCTATGACTTATGGGGGAGTACTCCTGAACATGGTCTGGTCCTATTCTATAGGCGATTCCATAGTCTAGTCTCGGAGGGGCACTGCCAGAAAATAAGTCCCCCCACATCTCCCTCTCCCACCACCATCTCTGTGCCCACTCCCCCCCTGGCTCTTCCACTGCCACTGTGCCCATCTCTCTCCTCTCCCACTGCCACCTCTGTGTCCACTGCCCCCCCCTCCGGCTCTTCCACTGCTACTGTGCCCATCTCTCTCCCACCACCGCCTCTGTGTCCACTGCCACCCCACCTCTTCCACTGCCACCGTACCCATCTCTCTCCTCCCCCATTGCCACATCTGTGTCCCCCCCTCGGCTCTTCCACTGCCACTGTGCCCACCTTACTGCTCTCCCACCACCGGTGTGTCTACTGCCCCCCCCCCCCTCTGGCTCTTCCACTGCTACGGTGCCACCCCTTTCCTCTCCCACTGCTGCTGTTTCCACTGCCCCCCTCCACGGCTCTCCCCCCGGGGTGCATCGCACTCACCTGTCCTCTCCTTCTGGGATCTTTTCTCCGCTGCCAGCGTTGGGCGGTCTGTACTCACACAAATTAGGCAGCCGTGGGCTGAGGTGGCCACCTAATTTGCCTGACTACAGTGCAGCCACTACTTTGGGTCCCGATTGTTCGGTGCGGTTGGAGGGAGGGAGCGATGATGTTCTTGGGAAAAGGGGGGTGGGGTCTACTACTAGTACTGTGCCATTTTGTTTACAATGAACCGCAGTACACTGTGAGAGTGATAGCTGTATGCAGTGCCACTAGTACCGTGGGTGGATCCGCCACTGATTTCCCAGGAGCTAATTTCTCTAGCCACCATCATTTCCTTAAGGACTGTGCACACCTGTGCAATCATTGGGTGTTGGTTACTGCTAAACCCTGGACCCAGGACTGGAGCTTTCGTCCCTCGTGAATCTCTTTAAAACCTCCCAGTTCCAGGATACCAAGCAGAATCCAGACAAACCCTTGCTTCCTAAAACCTCTCAGCCCATGTGGCTGAGTGTCATGGGTGATCATAACATAATTTACATTGGAGAATAGGGGAGAAAGGATGCAGGAGGCAGAGTTAGCCTACAATCTGCCATGTAGTATTGGGGATGGAGGATGTAGATGGTGGAAGGAGCCTACAATCTACATTGGAGTATAGAGGATGGAGAATGCCGGGGTGGAAAGAGCCTATAATCTACTTTGGAGAATAGGGGAAAAGGGATGCAGGAGGTGGAGGCAGCCTACAATCTACCTTGTGGTATAGGAGAGGGCTGTGGCTGGGAAGTGGGAGTGAGTGGAAAGAGTCTACAATTTACTTTAGGGTTTAGGCAAAGAGGGAGTATGAGGGTTGAAGATCCTATCCAATCTATGCCGGGGTACATAAAAGGGGTGGTACAGGGGGTGGACGTAGTCTACAATCTTTGTTGAGGTATATGGGAAGGGGGTGGGAAGAGCCTACAGTCTACTTTGGGTTATAGGGCAAAGGGGAATGCAGAGCATGGGAGGTAGACTCTGGCATCATATAGTTTGGTGGAGAAGAGGTTGTACAAACCGATTGTACAAGATTTTAGAGCTGGTTCCATAATACAATTTTTTTTTTTACATTTACACCTATTTTTATACTTCAGGTTAAAGTTTACAAAAAGGAAATATTATACAAACTGGAGTGCATAGGTACATAGGCACATACATAGGTGATACTGAACCTGCATATTCAATATGTATTTTTATTAATGATATATTTTTATTGATGACATTATTTTGTACTTTATTTTTTGGTTCTAAATTATGTATACAACAATTTAGTGAATAAATGTTTTTCTAAGACTTTTATATACGAGGTCTGGACTGGTTTCTAAAAAGCCCCCTTTTTTCTCCCCACTGGGTCCTTGCGCAGCCCACTGCGGAAACAATCTGTTCCTTTGTACAAGTTGGGGTTTGCTGACACAGTAAAACTGGTCATACACTTTACTTTCTCATTGTGCAGTCAACTAAATTTAGGCTGAATGATGCAAACAAACAACATATCCCACAAAAGAGTAGATTACACAATCAGATTGTAAAGTGTCATTCCAAAGGGTTGGGGATGCTAGCTTTCCTTTCATCCTTAAATTGGGGTATCACTAAAATGGCTCTGTAAAATATCTGATTTGGTAAGCAGCTAATACACTGCAAAGGTATCCCAGAATCCCAGGGTTAGTTAAAGACACGGCCAACCTGCTTGAAAATGGAATTTGTCTAATTGAAAGTTTATACTCATTCACTTGTGTATGTTCATTTGGCTTTTAATAAAATCCATACAAATATGCATTTGGAATGAAACAACAAATGTCTAGATTGCAGGACATGTGTCATGGCTATTTGGATTATGCATGCCATACATGTATTTGTAAAAGTATTTCTTCTGCTTCTAGGCAATGAAGACTTTTAGCACTTTGGTTCTCTTGGCTACAGTCCCAGGAATTTTGGGTCAGATAGGTGAGTTGTGAAGAATATTATCATAAAAAACTGAAAATAATATCTATATGGAGGACAATCTGCCACTGCCATTAGCTTATAAAGATAAGACTTCAAGGATTACAGTAAACACATTCACCAAGTTGATTTCTAAAGTCCTTAATTTAGATATAAACTAGGGCTGATACTGATTAAAATTTTCGTGTTCGATTAATCAAATTTTTTTTAATCGATTAATTTAGTTCAATTATAACGCACATACAGATCCAACTACATTGGCCTATACCCATACAGCACAGCAATGAAGTAATAAAATGAACTACGTGTATGGCCGAGCGATGTGTACAAGCCACACAAAAGAGGCTAAGGACAGGTTCCTTTGAAGCCAGGTGGGGCTCACAGCCAAAATTCAATCCGGTGTGTAAACGAGTTTATTTCTGCATAGGATGCTGTGACTAAAGAGTGTATTTAGAGGCAAGAAGCCTACCTTATATTATGAAAGTAATGGCCCTTTAAGTTAACCTGTGGTTAGATCAATGAAACAGGTTCTCTTAAAAGTCACCCTTCCTACCTGCAGATACTCACCTACCTTTTGCTCCCCCACTGCTCCATTCAGTCACAGCAGGTGAAAAACAGAACTTTGAGCAGAAGCTCAAAGTCACAATTTGGAGCTTACACAGGGCTGGGGGCTCCCCCTCCTTCCCCATGTGTTAGCACTAGGTGCCTCAGGAGGCAATCAGACAAATCAGTACTGTCACATCTGGTGAAGGGGAGGGAGTCCCGTGCCCCCCCACCACCCAAAAGTACCATGTATTTAACTTATATTATGACATTAAATGGAGAAGCAGTGGATCAAAGGGAAGCTGTAGATGGATAGATGGGGAGGGTGGCAATAAAAGTGTAACTAAACCCAAGTTACAAAATGTGCATTCTAGTTGTTTTTCCAATGAGTGTTCCTTTTCCTTTCAAAATTTTGATCAAAATTTTCAGTATGGCACTTTCCGTTTAAGGATGACAACCCTGCCTTTGCAGGGTTCCCCAGCAGGGACTGTGTGGTCACCCCTGACGTGATTTTGCCCTGGAATACAATAGTATCTGGCACAGAGAGTGCTGGTACTAACACCCTCTTCCAATGATGTCAGTAAGTTGCAAGGTCAGCATAGAGACTGACATCCATGAGGCACACTTGCACATTGCATCATGTGAGGGATGGAGTGCACATAAGAAGGATGATACGTGCATTGCACCAGCCCCAGGTTGGAAGTTTGTGGATGCTTCCTTCAAGATTTGTTGGGCAATGAAAAAAACAGAATGAAAAATAAGATATTTCTACAGCACAACTCCCCCCAAAGAAAAAAGACAATGCACTGACTGTTACTTTGTCAATCGACACTTGATTTAATTACACGAACCTGTGCTTCACCCTGATTGGTCAAAGCACAGGTACACTTTTAACAAAGGTTATCCAACTATGCAGGTCATCATATGAAAATTTCTAATGGTACTTTGTAAGTAGACATCTGATCATTTTATTCAACTTTCTAATATTTTCCCTTCCACAGTCACCCATTTACTAGGTGTCATCTTCTTCTTACACAGATATGGATGGAAAAGCCTTCTCTTTCTACCGGAAAGACAGTGGACCTGTAGAAATATCACCCAAAACATTTAACACCTTCACTGCATTCACTCTGTGTCTGAAAACATGTACAAATCTCACAGAGAACATGCTAATGTTCAAACTGTTCGATATGGTCAACATGAATAAATTTGCCATGCTACTTGATGCCAACCCAAGCACCTTCACTGGAGCAGATTTACTGATCTTTTATGAAGATCTGCAACTGAGCTTCCACTTCCCAGACACTGACACTAACAAGTGGAGGAGCATATGTGTGGCGTTTGACTCAAACTCTGGAAGACTACTGTTCTGGCTCAATGGGAAACTGTATCAAAGTGAAGATGTACAGAAAGGGTTGACAGATTTCGTTCCTATGAGTATAATTATTGGGAGGAGTTTTGTTGGTGAAGAAAATTCAGCAGTAGCTCAAATAACAGATGTCAACATGTGGAGCACAGTGTTAATGTCACATGACATAGAGAGATTTATTACAAATAAAGTGACAGGTGATGTGATTAACTGGAGATTGTTAAATTACAAAACCAGGGGTGTAGAAATTATTGAGCCATGCCACTGTTCTGAAAATTCATGGAACCTCTAGAGGCACCTAGAGGGGAATTTATCAAAACTGGAGCAGACAAAAACTGGAGCAGCTGTGCATGACAACCAAGAGAGAAGCTGATTGGTTGCCATGCACAGCTGCTCCAGTTTTTGTCTGCTCCAGTTTTGATAAATTCCCTCCCATATGTTATTAAAATGTAGTGGGCTTGATGCACTCAAGTTCATTAAGGCTTGTGTTTATGAGAAAAAGCTGTCTCTAGAGGCCACGTCCTATGTTTCTTATGGTTTGTAAATTTTTTCCAAATCTCCTGCATGTGTTTTTCAGAACTGTTTGCATTCAACTGAAGAAGAGAGGTGTTTTTGCATGCAAAATAGGTGGTATGCACTGCAGAGAACTTCAGGAGGAACAGCGTAATTCAGTACATGTTAGAAACCAATTAAACCATTTATGTATGTATGCATGTCATTTAAAAACTAGTTGTAAGCAATGTAATATGTGATGATCTGAACTGCAAAATAGGACTTGAAGGCATCAAAAGACGTTTGGAAAAGAAGCTTCAACTGAAGAGATAGTATACATAAAGTCTTCTAAACTCAAAGTTCTCCACATTGAGGAGGTCAACTCTAATCCTTTGCTCCTTACACTTTCAGGTGTGCAGCTTTATCCTGGTTCTTCTTCTGATGGTGTCCTTGCACGACTTCCTCAAACAGCCCAATTTTTTTACCACAAACCATCCATTTTACCCTTCCTTTCACAGGTTAAACTGGAGAGACTTATTTTCACATAAAAAAACCCGTTCATGCAAATACAATCAATAAATCACTATAAAAAGGGAAGAAGACCAGTGGGTCAGGATGGGACAAAAATATGCTGCCTTATGGACAGCATGGTAAATGCATGCAGCTAGTGGTAAAAAGGCTTTGAGGTGTAGAAGTATATGAGTTTCATCAGTAGTGATGGGCCGAACAGGCCCGAGTTCGGTTCGAATTCGAACTTTCGAACATGGGAAAAGTTTGAACTCAAACTCAATCCAAGTCTATGGGGGTAGAACTTTCAAAAACAATTGTCCCCTTTAAGAGGGCTTAATTGCTTAATGAGGGTCCCCCCCAAACAATAGCAGACCGTTTAGGTCTGGTAGGAATGTTAGGGGGGACCCCATTTAAAAAAGAAAAAGCGTGGGGTTCCCCCCAAAAGACATACCAGACCCTTAAGTAGGGAAGCCCTGATACATTGGCTGCTTAAACATATTGGGCAAAACTTTAACTTTTGTCAAAATGCCGAAAGTGCCATTTTCTGGCTGATAGAGCGGTGCATCCATTCTTTCTCTCCTCCCCGCTGGGTGCTGCTCTGTGTCCCAGCGGGGAGGAGGGAAACTGTCACAGGCGGCCGAGTGCTGTGGGAGGAGAGCGCTATGAGCGGCCGCCGTCTCTCCTCCCCGCACCACTCAGCCTCCTGTGACAGCGTGCAAGGAAGGAGATCGAGTACAAACAATCAGTGATCAGTGATCGCTGCGTGTAAATAATTAAGGACATAGTATGTTTACTATATCCTCAATTATGAATGAATGGAAAGTGATCTACATTACCTCTTGTTCATTCATAATTATGGTTATAGTAAACACACTATGTGCACAAGTTATGAAAGAACAGGGACACTCAGTATAGAGGATTCCTGTTCATTTATAACAGGGGCTGCAGAAAAAGAGGACTCTGTTTCCTAAATCTCTTTTTCTATTTTAAAAGGGAAATATCAGGGATCTGTTTAGACCCCCAATATTTCCCCAAAGCCCCTAAATGTAAAGAAAAAAAATAAAAATATTTAATAAAAATGAATAAATAAATAAAAACAATTAAAACGTTTATAAAAAATAAATACATATCAAATTGAAAAACAAATTGAAAAAGTAAAAATAAAACACATTTTTGGTTTCGGCCTGATATTTGTTTACATTTCGGTTTTTGAAATTTTCATTTTGGTGCACCTCTACCCTTAAGGTCTGGTAGGCATATTTAGGAGGGACCCAGTGTATAATAAAACAAAACAAAAAGTGTGTAGGGTTCCCCATTAAAGTCATACCAGACCCTTAAGGTTTGGTAGGAATATTGAGGAGGGACACCATGTAAAAAAAGGCAAAAAAAACAGACTTTGCCCAATCAGGGCTCTTACAAGGGTCTGAGCCCTGATTGGGCAAAGGCTGACCTGTGGTCAGGTGCAAGCCTTTAGCCAATTAGGGCTTCACAAGGCACATTGTCTTGTGGGGCGTTCAGCGGTTGAACAGACCGCCAAACACCCTTAAAGTTCGTGTGTTTGGCGAACACACGAATTAGCGATGTTCGACTCGAACATCCAGCCCATCCCTAATCATCAGTAGAGTTACAGACCAGTGGTAGGAATAAGACCATTGAAAGCAAGCTCTAGGACCACATCTTTGGAAAATGGTAAGCAGACTCAATTGGTACAGACCCAGGCAACCCTACCTGCTCTGCACATAGATCCAGCTTCTCCCAGGGCACTAGGGACTTTATTGAGCAGGTTGGGCTGATGAAATAGACTCTGTAAAAACTTGACCTTTCATGCATCAGGCCCGAGGTATCAGTAGAATATGTGCTTAAGAAGTATGTATATATGAAAACTAAAACAGATTGTTTATAGAATGAAAGTGGATTGTTTGCTCTGGGCTGCAATGTTATGTTACCTCTCATAGTAAGAACTGTGTTTATAAAGGGAGAGCAGTCTATTGTTTTTCAATGGTTCAGTGTCCATATTATACAATGAAAGTGGAATGTTTGCTCTGGGCTGCAATGAATTGTGATTATAAAAGGAAGACAGTCTATGTTTCAGGTAGTTAAATGTCCAAATTAAAATTATTAAGAGATTTTCTGAATTGTTAGTTATTGCATTTTATAATGTTGATCATTTTTAACAGTATTAAGGTGTATCTAGACCTAAAAAGAAAACATAATATATTGCAGCGTATCAGTCCTACAATGTGGTGGCTGCATTTGTTTTCTTTTTTAGGCTAAGAATTTTTTTTGCAAATACAGAAAATATTTGTTGATCTTGCCATGAATGCTGTGTTCTTGTCACGTCCTGTGGACTGAATTGAAAGCACAAACAATGTTCTCTTGTCATCAATCATGCTTAAATACCATTTGGTACAAGATGAACAGCTGTAGAGCTTGTGTTGGTGGGCATCTATTCTACCTCATTGCCAAACAAGTCTATGGGATGGCAGAACCTGCTTCAAGCTGGTCAGATGTAGTTCAGAAGCATATAAAAAGAGAAGAGAAAGACGGGGCTTTATATGTGACTCATAAACAATGCGGTTAGACATAATGTCACATAACTCATTCCTGTATAGTAAAATTCATATTTAATAACATAATTCCATGATTGACAAAAGATACACGACATACCACACATCTAAAAACAGGACCATTCAACCTATAAACAGCATTTCACCTCTAGGAATCCGTACAGATTGATATTGTGCAAAATAGCAATAGTTAACACTCTTATTTTCATTGTAAATTCATAGTAAATTTGATCAGTCAATATATAATTTTTTAAGATCAGTCCACATATTCATGATATATAATTTCATATTGTTAAATGTTCCAATCAAAAATCTGTACGTTTTCATTCTTCGACGCGTTTCGCCGTAGCTTTTTCAAGAAGTTTATAGAGGTGGCCTGTAAAATCCATATAAATATTGTAATAAGCATTCAAATAGTTGAAAATAGCAATTTTGCCATACATAACATTAGCTGACATAAATCAATGAATGCGATAGATACATAAATACCATGTATAAAAGTTGCTGGGGACGAGCAGATTCGCGTCTTGGGGAGTCCCTCCACTCCGCCAGGAAAAGAGAAAAGGGATAACTCAGGGGATGTATGGAAGAGGAGGCATCTCTACCTGTCCTTGTGCGACCTATAAGATTGAATTATAAACCAGGTCCAGGTCTATATATACCAGGTCTATATATAACTTCAATAATTACAATGTATTGCACCTAGCATTGCAAAGCCACCTAAAGATCTATAGGATACACTGGAACGGCTTCTCTGAGCCTTACTGAATCAGTGATATAATGTATCCAAACTAAGTTCGATGCATTGGCCTTCACAATAGGTACAATTGTATCCATAAACAGCAACCACATCCATCAATGTATCTCAGATACCATCTCTGTCACTTGCAACCCTTCATTGAAGTATAGTAAAATAGTATATACAAATTGTCAAGGATCATCCTTATTATAGTTTAGAACTGGTTACTCCATTTAGAAAATCAACTTAAGGGAAAGTGACTAGACATGGTAATACATAAGAAGCACTGAATATATCCCATGACGTGATTAGGGTACCTTATGACTTTATCAAGCTCCTCAAGTGTCCAGGGCCAACCTCTACCATTCTCCCTGTCCCGAGTCTCCCTTGCTCTAGCTGTTATTCCCCGCAGACACACCGGCTGCCTTGATCAGTCGGCGTGTAATGTCTGCGGCCAGGGCGGGCTCTCGGTCCACACCTGAGTTTAGTAACTCACAGATGTTAAAGGGTAAGCTTACTTTCTCACAAATTGCCAAAATAGGAACTTACCCACAGCACCATGCCACCTCCCCTACCCCCTTTTGCACTTACATCATTAAAGTCCCCACCACCCAGTCTGTACACCATACACCAGACTTCCCAGCCCTGCAGTATGGAATACTTGCAAATGGCCAGTGCTCATTGATCAGCATGGTCACATGATCACGCTGATCAATGAGAAGTGCTTTTGAACTAGGGACCAGATCCCTGAGATAAGAAGTGCTTCTTATTGATCAGTGTGGTCCTGTGACTGTGCTGACCAATGAGCCCTTGCCATTTGGGAGCATGATGAACAATCCATACTGTGAGGTTGGGAAGTCTAGTGTATGTTCTGTTACACGCTGGTGGGCACTTCAGACATGTAAGTGCAGTGTGGGCTGGGGGAGGTGGCAGGGTGCTGTGGGTAAGATAATTTTGTCACATTTTGTGAACTTACCCTTCAACA